GCTTAATTTGTGATTTTTCATCAAACCTGGAAGATTTAAGGTGGGGGGTGTCCAACGGGGGTGGATTTCATATAGTTTTACCACCGGTTCACCGCGCACCGAAAACGTGAGTGCGCGGGCGCCTTCCGCGCAGGTGTGTGGCCTTCCGTTCATGCGTTTTGAAATGTGCTAAATAGGATGGCCTACCAATTTCACCCGAACCGGCTGAATACCAGTTCTGGTGTCCAACCTTGGCAACTTTTAAGATCTGTGGACTTCAACTCCCAGAATTCCCCAGCCAGTTTAAGTTGGGTAACCCCTGCTTAAACTTCTTTTAAGGCCATGGGGCCAGTGTAAAAAAAACCCCAAGCAGTGGGTTTCCTCCCCATGTGCAAAGCAACCGTATTTTCATGGAATAATAAAGCACTCATGTGAACAAGTTGCAAATCTGAAAGAGGTTCGTGAGGATAAAATAAAATTATGATTGTATTCATTCGTTAGATGTCTATCCTGCCTTTTATGCTTTATTATGACTTTATAGTTACCACTTTATAATTAACACAAGGCAGTGAGCATATATACTTTCTTCTTCCTATTTTTCCTGCAACAACAACCCTTTGAGGTGGACTGGACTAGGAGAGGTTGATTAGCCTAAAGTCCCGCAGCCACGTTCCTGCCTAAGGTGGGACTAGAACTCCCAGTCCCCTGGTGATTGGCCCAAAGTCACCCAGTCATCTTTCCTGCCTAAGGTGAGACTAGAACTCCCAGTCCCCTGGTGATTGGCCCAAAGTCACCCAGTCATCTTTCCTGCCTAAGGTGAGACTAGAACTCACCGTCTCCTGGTGATTGGCCCAAAGTCACCCAGTCATCTTTCCTGCCTAAGGTGAGACTAGAACTCCCAGTCCCCTGGTGATTGGCCCAAAGTCACCCAGTCATCTTTCCTGCCTAAGGTGGGACTAGAACTCCCAGTCCCTGGTGATTGGCCCAAAGTCACCCAGTCATCTTCCTGCCTAAGGTGAGACTAGAACTCCCAGTCCCCTGGTGATTGGCCCAAAGTCACGCAGCCACGTTTCCTGCCTAAGGTGGGACTAGAACTCCCAGTCCCCTGGTGATTGGCCCAAAGTCACCCAGTCATCTTTCCTGCCTAAGGTGAGACTAGAACTCCCAGTCCCCTGGTGATTGGCCCAAAGTCACCCAGTCATCTTTCCTGCCTAAGGCGGGACTAGAACTCACCATCTCCTGGTGATTGGCCCAAAGTCACCCAGTCATCTTTCCTGCCTAAGGCGGGAGACTAGAACTCACCATCTCCTGGTGATTGGCCCAAAGTCACCCAGTCATCTTTCCTGCCTAAGGCGGGACTAGAACTCACCATCTCCTGGTGATTGGCCCAAAGTCACCCAGTCATCTTTCCTGCCTAAGGCGGGACTAGAACTCACCGTCTCCTGGTGATTGGCCTAAAGTCACCCAGTCATCTTTCCTGCCTAAGGCGGGACTAGAACTCACCATCTCCTGGTGATTGGCCCAAAGTCACCCAGTCATCTTTCCTGCCTAAGGTGGGACTAGAACTCCCAGTCTCCTGTGATTGGGCCAAAATCACCCAGCCAGCTTTCATGCCCAAGGCAGGACTAGAACTCCCGGTCTCCTAGTTTCTGGCCTGGCGCCTTAACCTTTGTTTTACAAAGGGAAATCCAGGAGCAAAACTCAAGAAAAAAAGCAAATTCTACTAAAATAATATCTAAGATCAAACAGTACTGCATTTATATCGATTGTACAATTTATTTGAAAAACACAATTCAATTTCCATGAATGATAAAAGAAGAAGAACCAAAATGAATTTTGAAAAATAAAGGACTGTCCTTTATAATAAAGGACGATCATTATATGATTATCTCTGCAGTGTCGCCTCTTATACAGAAAAGGAACCCTTGGAGCAGAATCCTCCTTGCTCCTGAAAAACTACAGGTAGTCCTCGAATTACGACCGTGAGTGAGTCTGCAATTTTGGTCGTCAGTCACAGCCATCCAAAAATGGGCCATCGTGCGACCGCACCTGATTTGACAAACATCCTTGCAATGGCAATAAAGCAAATGCGACCACGGTGGTCATTAAGCAAATGCACGGTCATTAAATGAACCCATGGTTCACTAAGGGGTGATTTTTGCTGCAAAACCAGAAGCAAATCCTTACGTTAAGTGATTCACTTAACGACGGTGGCAAGAAAGGTAGTAAAACGTGGCACAACTCACCGAACAAATGTCCCACTTAACAACGGAAAGGTTGGGCTCAGTGGTGGTCGTAAATTGAGGACTACCCATATATAATGGTAAAACTGGATGGATTGCTTTTAACATGCGAAGGAGCAACAAGGATGATGTTATTGGCTATTAAAAATGTGTAGAGATATCAATTTCCTTTTTAATTAGTACGAAGCCGCGCCACATTAAAGAAATGTATTGTTAATAGGATCGGTGTTTGTGAATTTTAATCCATTATTAAGGAAATGTTGGTTTTGCACCAACGTTTCAAGAGAGAGTGAATGCGTGTGATTCCCCAGAGAATAAAACTGCGGATTTGATGGAGCTTATTATTAAAAGATACGATACATAAAAGCTTTGGATTTTATTCATTTGATTAGATGGCGCGCTATTAAAAAAAAAACAACAACACCAGAATATTTGCTACTTCGCACGTTTAACTTTGGATAAGATTTAAAAAAACAAAACAATTATAGACATGAAGGATAATAGTTAGTCCGTGTTACATTTGTTCCAAGTTTGGGGTTACTTTTAGTTATTTTGGGGAGTAATTTTTTTATTTATTGGTTAGGTTTTCTCTAAACTCATTCTGATCTGGGTTCTTTTTTTATTTTAAGGAATACATTCCTCCATCTCGTGCACTACAATGCAAAAAATTGGGTCGAATTGTGGAATACTTTTTGTGCACGAAAATGGGGTGGTTTTGGGTGCAAGGAAATGGATTTAACATGTCCAGTGCCTGAAGATTTGGAAAAAATATAGGAGAGATATTTGACAGAAGAGTTTTTCAATCTTGGTCATTTTAAAAGGATTTTTTTTTTAAAGCTTGGTCACTTTAAGACGTGTGGACTTCAACTCCCAGAATTCCCCAGCCAGCCATGGCTGGCTGGGGAATTCTGGGAGTTGAAGTCCACACGTCTTAAAGTGACCATGCTTGAAAAAAAAACATCATTCTAAGAGAAGCTAAATCGACCAAATGCCCTTGAATTCTCCAAAATCTCCTTGTCATATCTTATACGGGCCATTTCATAATTTCTTTGCTTCTTTGGAGAAAAAAAACAAACGCAGAAATTGCTAAGAATTCTGGAAATGCGGCAACGCGGGGAAAAAATTTCACAGCCAGCCTTCCGTTTTTGCTGAGAAAAATGCCCACCGTAACACAAATCGCGACTGAACCCAAATAAAAGGTAATCCTCGATTTACAACGGTTCCGTTTAGTGACCGTTGAAAGTAGCAACAGCCCTGTGACTTATGGCTGTTTTTCACACTTGCAGCATTCCCACCGCAACGGACTCATATTTATGACGGTCCCGGGGGTGGGGGTGTCACACGATCCCTCTTTGTGACCTTTGGACGAACAAACTCAACGGGGAAGCCCGATTCGTTTAACAAACGTGTTCCTAACTTAACAGCTGCAGTGTTTCACTTAGCGACGGTGGAAAGAAAGGTCACCAAAATGGGGGGCAAAGCTCGCTTAAAAAATCTCTTGCTTAGCCAGAGGAATTTTGGGCCTCGATGGTGGTCGTAAATCGAGGACTACTTGCGCTGTATATAAAATTAGGCCGACTCTAACTGCCCGCTGATAATCCACCACTAATCATATTATATTGTCTGTTTATTATGGATTTTAATGCTTTTATTTGCAACGGTGGCCTGTGAGTGTTAATAAAATTGGTTGATGGCAACCTTTGGCGAGTGTGTGGTGCCGTAGCGGAGTCACAATCGAGGCCTCTAAAGGAGCATCTTCTTGTGGCAAGGTGGGACTACTATAACCTGGCCCCATTTTGCTGGGGATACCTCCTGCCACCCCCCAATTCACCTGGAACGCTTGAACAGACCAGCAAGATTAGTACAAAATAATGCAAAATGAATATTTCTTGCTTCGGTGGTGGAATTCTGACGTTGTGCACGGAGCACCGAACGATAGAGCGAAAGGCGAAGTGGGGGCCGTTTTCCTTCCTATGAACCCCAGCGGTCACATCCAACCTTGCCACGGCCGCCTCCGATTGCCAGGGTACGCACGCCGTGTGGCACAGTTGCGGTGTCTGCAACGTTTCCGAGGCACGTTCGATTTTTCACCCTTTTTAGCAGGACCTGGCGCCCTGCTGCAGAGTCCTGGAGGGTCAGAACGATTTCCCCGGAGCCGCAGAAGGACCCCCACCCCCACCCCCACCCACCCCAACCGTACAACCTCAAATCCCCTCTCGGTTTCAAAGGCCGGATAGCTCCAAGCTGGGATTAATTATGGTCTGAACGTGGTGGTGGGACATCATGACGCTCATCCATCATTGCCGTGATTGAGACAGGATGGAAAGCCGCTTATTACGAAGCTCTCGGTTGGTGCTGCTTTCGGTGCCTCCTGGTGAGGTCGAGGGGTGAGCAGGGGCTGTGAAATTGGCAGGGATCAATCCAGATAGACCATCTGTTCTCGTTTAATCATTTAGCCTCGGCTCAAAGCACCGACCTTCTCCGGGAAATCAACTCAGGCTGAACGGAGTGGTGATTTCGGTCGAGAAACACAATTCGGCTTTGAAATCCAGGTTGCTACCATCGTAGATTGGATGGCCAAGACTCGGAGGCACCAACAGTGATGGGTTTGCTTTTGAAAACACCTCCCCCCTCCCCCAATTTTGAAACCTAAGTGTGAGACGTCCATCTCGTGGAGATCTAAGTGTGAGATGTTCATTTCATGGAGACCTATGGGTGAGATGTCCATCCCACACACGCTTTTGAGATTTCTACCCACGCTGAGAATGGACCGGGAGAATCAGAAGATGTCCCCGGAAAGACACACCACACGTCAACCCCGTAGGAGAATTTCCAGTTCCTGTACAAAGCTCCCTTGGTGAAGAACCTCAACCGAACCCAAGCGATGCATTGCCCATAAGAAGAGTGGACAATTTCCATCTTCCAGCAAAGATCCCACCCAAGACCACCTCTCAAAACACATCTCCCTACTTTCTGGTTCTCACCAGATCACTGTGGCTGGAAGGTTCTTCTCGTTGGGTTGTGTAGACACTCTGGGGGCGTGGGGTGGGGTGGGGGGGTCGGGCCTTGCTCGACTTCATTAAAACCATTTGAAAAATAAGGGGGCTGGGCACAATTTTGATACCACACATCACATTGGTTTGGGGTGGCAGAGCAATCATCTCACGCCAAGCATGGAGAACTTGGATCTCCACCTGGTTTCGGAAGGTTTTCCCAGAAGACATCAAGAGCTTCTCATTCTCAAGCAAGAGGGCTTCATTGCACCAGAAAAAGAAGAAGAAGAAGAAGAAAGAAAAGGCAGCTTTGACTCACTGGTCAAAGATGAAGAAAAAGACGCTTGTGTGAATTGGTTCCTGTCTGCGACTTCACGTCGATGATGAAGTGCGCAGAAGTTCTTGAAGACATTCATGGTTGACTCTTTCGCTGGAGAACCATCCTTGCTCTCCAGAAAGATATTCAGAGACAAGCTCATGGGATGAGTTTCTTTTTTGTTTTGTTTTGTTTTGTCCTCTTCTCTTACTACAAAGTCCACGCGGAGGATGGTGGTTTTGGGTGCGACCACCTTCCTGAGTCCCAAGTTGGAAAATAGAAGACCCGAGTAGCTCCTCGGTTGGTGGGCGGTCTTGAGCAAGGCCTCAGGCTGGTTCACATGGCCATCAGGAGGACAGTACTGGTGGCCGTGGAGCTCCACACCATCATCCAGAGGTCAACGGTCAGCGCCAGGGCAGCGTCCGAGGCTCCAGCTCCAAGGTGAGATGCGTCGTGCAACAGCTTCTCTTCTGCGGACACCTAGAACGACAACAAGAGTAATGGAAAAGGTGAAGAGATGGGACATGCCGGATTCCCCTGGTGGTGAAGGATTGAGCCCAGATCAAGAACAGGAGGGACAGGAGGGAAGTTCAGAAGAAAGGTATTCTCACCAGTGGTGGGTTCCTCCCGGTTCGGCCCGGTTCGGCCGAGCCGGTAGCGGTGACGATATGATGTCACCGAACCGGTTCTCTTTGTTCGGGAGCTGGGCCCTCCCCCCATTATTCTTACCTTTTATTTGGCCCCGCCCCCAATCTATTCGCTGCCTCTCAAGTCCCAGCTGATTGGCTAGAAGGAAAAAAACTGTTTAAACTCTTGCCGCGGGGCTTCAAAGGGCCGCCCTACAGCTGATCAGTGTTAAAAGGCAGTATGGTGGTAGACCGGTGCCTCCAAAAACAAATGAGTAGACCGGTGCCTGCAAAAACAAATGGGTAGACCGGAACGCTCCCCCCCAAAAAATAAAAAAATGGGTAGACCAGGACGCTCCAAGAACAAATGAGTAGACCGGTACAGCTCTGTAAGCAGTTAAAAGCTTGGTAGACCAGTACCTCTGCTAAATCCTAAAGAATTGTCACATGACCATCAAACCACGCCCACAAAATAAGCCACGCCCACAGAACCGGTAGTAAAAAAATTTAGAACCCACCCCTGGTTCTCATCCAGCTCCCCAAACATGACCAACTCTCTGAAGCTAACTCAATGATTCCTTTATTAGGAATGCCGGCAGCCCCGGCAAAAGGTTGCTCTCTCACCGCAGGCTAACAAGTCCGTCTGGCAGGGAGACGAATGGTTGTCTGCCACATCTATTCATCTCCGCCCCCTGCCTTTTATCCCCAGAGCCAGGGTGGGGCTTAGCTAGCAGCGGTGGCTCTTCCGTCCCAAGGACCGGCCCATAGATTTCCACTGCTCTCCTCTCCTCTTGCCTTCTGTGCATCAGGCACTGGACCCAGCCGTTCCTCCTCTTCCTCATCAGCCACCTCTGGACCTGGGGGCTGTTGACTCTCCATCTGACGGCTGACGGACGGCCCAGGCTCCACCTCCATCTCTCTCTCTGTGCCAGCTCCATTCCCTCTTCCCCCTCGGAGCTCCAGATTCTGACCCTGACTCCCACACTCCCTCCTCCTTCCTCCTCTGATTCGGCTCCTGGAGGGGCCGGCATGTTAGAAAGTATGACAGGTAATCCTCGACAATTCGTTTCGTGACAGTTCAAAGTTATAATGGCACCGAACAAAAGGAGTTACGACCGTTTTTTACACAACCATTGCAGCACCCCCTGGTCATGTGATCAATATTTGCACGCTTAGCAACGGGCTCATATTTATGACGTTTGCAGTGTCCCCGGGTGTCGTGTTCCCCTTTTGCCACCTTCTGAAAAAGCAAAGTGAAACGGGTCGGCCAGATTCACTTCACAACCGGGTGCCTTAAGTTAACAGCTGCAGGGATTCCCTTAACGACTGTGGCAAGAACGGTCGTACAATGGGGCGAATCTCGCTGAAGAAATGTCCTGCTTAGCAACATACATTCTGGGCTCAATTGCCGTCGTAAGTCGAGGGCTGTGGTTTCTTCCTCTCACTTTTTTTTTTAAATTTTTTTTCTGAAATGGCATAGGGCCGTGATGGCGAACCTATGGCACGCGTGCCACAGGTGGCACGTGGGGCCATATCGGTGGGCACGCGAGCTCAGCTTCGGCATGCCTGTGCGCGCCGGCCAGCTGATTTTCAGGCCTTTTGGGCCTACTGGAAGTCGGGAAAAAGGCTGTTTCTGGCTTCCGGAGGGCCTCCGGGGGAGTGGGGAAGGAAGGCCATTTTTGCCCTCCCCAGGCTCCTAGAAAGGCTCTGGAGGCTGGGGAGAGCGAAAAACGGGCCTACCTTGCCAACGCATGCCAAAAGTTGGGGGAAGTGCAGGAGGTTGCACACACATCCGCGGGGGGTGGGGTGCATAGAATTATGGGTGTGGGCACGTGTGTGAGTGGCCCCTCCCACTCCCCCCACTTTTTGCCCCCACGTGATGGCAGCAGTGATGGCTAACCTTTTTGCCATTGCGTGCCAAAAGTGGGGGGAGCACAGTGGGGTCACACCCACGCATGCCCACATCCATAATTCTATATGCCCTGCCCCCCCCATGCTCCCCCCGCTTTTGGCACGTGATGGCACGATGGTAGACCCGTTTTTTGCTCTGGAAAGGCTCTGGAGTCTGGGGAGGGCAAAAACAGCCTTCCCCACACTCCCAGAGGCCCTCCGGAGGCCGGAAACAGTGTGTTTCCTGATTTCTGGTGGGCCCAGGAGCCCGAAAATCAGCTGGCTGACGCACACATGTGTGCCGGAGCTGAGCTCGTGTACCCACCAATATGGCTCTGCGTGCCACCTGTGGCACCCGTGCCATAGGTCCGCCATCACTGGCATAGGGTTTTATGCCTGAGCAGGGGGTTGGACTAGAAGACCTCTAAGGTCCCTTCCAACTCTCTTCTTCTGCTATTCTTGAAAAGCAGGCAGGGAGAGAGCTCCGACACCCAGAGTCTCGGTGGGGACCAGGAAGGCTTTTATCGCTCCTTTGAAATCGACAGTGCTTGCAATTGGCTTCATGCCTTTTTTTTAAAAAAAAAATCCAGATCGGTGTTTAATACGACTAGCAAATTTCACCTGGAGGGAGAGAAGCCTTAACGGCAACAACATTACAGGCGGGTATCCTTATCACGCCAAGCTCGGCGGGGTTCGCCGGTCTTTCAAGAAATGGTGAGGATTAAGCCTCTCCCTGTGTGTGTTTTTATTTAGTTTTTTTTTTTCCAGAGATAGGATACCCTGGAGAAGAGCTGCAACTCCAGCGAATTTGGATTTAATCCCAGCATTTAAGGTTCAGTTGGATACCATCCAGAGGCCCCTCTGTGAGCTGGATGGGTGGTTAAGGAGTGTGAGATATAAAGAAATATAAATAACTTTGAGTCTCTTTTTAAGGAAAGGGTGGTAGTTGTTAGGAAATGATTATTATCTACGTTGTTGGGTTGGCAATATGTAAACCATCACTATAGCTTTAAGACTGCTGTATTGCATCATACTGTGTCCTGATTGGTTAGCTCTGTGGCCAATCTCCTTAAGAGGGAGCTAGAAACCTAGTTTGTTTCTCTTTGCTGTTCTGTATCTCTGTATGCGACTGTTTGCAAATCCAGAAGAACTGTTTATTGTGAATGACTATGACAACTGGTAAGAAGACTTTGTTATTGGATTATCCCTGGACTGTCATTTTGCTATCTCCTGCTTTATATGTGTATGACCTGGACTGTTTATTGGACTGTGCCTTACTATTTCCTGAAAGTAAACACAACTCAGTGTATCTCTGTGTTAACTGTGATTATTCGTACCTACTCTCAATCGCTTTCATGTACACACCCTTGCTACTCAAGGGTTACTCTGCGAATTCCTTAACAGTAGTGGTGGAGGGTGGGGCTGGGGGCCTTGAAATCTGCTCTTTTCTTCTGCACCCCTTTCCTCAATCGGGGTTCCCTAAAAGGGGACAAACCAGACTGACATTTAGAGTATTGGAGACCAATAACCAAGACCACGAAGAGATTGGACTGCCATTTGTCAGAAATGGTGTAGGGTCTCCTGCTTGGACGGGGGGTTGGACTAGATGACCTACAAGGTCCCACTCACCTCTGTTAACCTTTAATCTGTAAAACCTAGAGCCGTGACCGCGAACCTATGGCTAAGCTGATTTTTGGGCCTTCCAGGCCCACTGGAAGGCTATTTCCGGCCTCTGGAGGCCTCTGGGGGGGAGCTGGGAAGGGCATTTTTGCCCTCCCCAGGCTCCTAGAAAGGCTCTGGAGGCTGGGGAGAGCGAAGAATGGGCCTTCCAATCCCACCGGAAGTCAGCAAACGGGCCATTTCCGGCCTCCGGGGGGATGGGAGAGGCTAGTTTTCGCCCTCCCCAGGCTCCAAGTAAGCCTCTGGAGCCTGGGGAGGGCGAAAAACGGGCCTACTGGGTCCACCGTGCCATTGCGTGCCAAAAGCGGGGGGAGCGCAGGGGTGTCACGCATGCCTGCGTGGGGGGAGCGGGGTGCACTGAATTATGGGTGTGGACACGCGTGGGTGCGACCCCCCCGCACTCCCCCCGTTTTTGGCACACGATGGCAAAAAGGTTAGCCATCACTGACCTAGAGGAAGAGTTTGCAGATAAAAAGCGGGGTTTTTTTCTCCCCCAGCAGGTGGCGCCCCTGAGCAATGTTGACTGATGTTGAAAAAGGAAAGAGGTTGCTTTAGGTAGGACGTGGATGGGAGACCAAGAAGAAATCAGGAGTCCTTGGTGCTCTCTGAGCTTGGTTGTCTTCTCTTGCAGACATTTCATGACTCAAGTAGGTAACATCATCAGTGCTAGAAGGGAGTGGGGTCTGTGGAGAGGAGGAGGAGGAGGAGGAGGCTGAGGAGGAGGAGGAGGAGGAGGAGGAGGAGGAGGAGGAGGAAGAAAAAGACAGTGGGGTCCTTGGTGCTCTCTGAGCTTGGTGCTTTCCTTGCAGACGTTTCATGACCCAACTAGGGAACATCATCAGTGCTAGAAGGGAGTAGGTGTGCAGGGAGGAGGAGAAGGAGAAGGAAAAGAGGAGAGGGAGAAGGAGGAGGAGGAGGAGGAGGACTGTGGGGTCCTTGGTGCTCTCTGAGCTTGGTGGTTTTCTTGGAGACATTTCTTGACCCAACTGGGGAACGTCATCAGTGCTAGAAGGGGAAGGGGTTTGCAGAGAGGAGGAGGAGGAGGGTGGCACCTTCTGACAAGCAAAGTCAAGGGGGAAGCGAGATTCACTTTAACAACCATGTTGCCAACTTAACAACTATCATGATTCCCTTAACACCTGTGGCAGGAGAGAGGTCATAAAACGGGCTAAAATTGAGCAAATGTTTCGCTCAGCAACAGAACCTGTAGGGCTCAAATTATGGCTGTATGTTGAGGACTTCTTGGAGTTCAAATTTCAGCTTTATGCCTGACGTAGTTTTAGACAAATAATAGTCTGTTGGAGTTTTTTTCTTTTGTTTTGTTTTGTTTTGTTCCTAGAGAGACACAGTTTCTGTGTCTCTCACACTATCACACAATAGTGACAACAAAAGTCCGTATTATTCTTTTTTAGCTCGATTCGTATGTTTGGTTCCTTTCCTTGTTCCTTTCAACAGTTTGTTAGTGGTTTGGTTGCAAGAAATAATTAAATTTGACTGACAATTATTCTCTGGAAACAAAGGTGGAAGCAGGCCTCACTTGTACCCCCCCCCCTTTTCTTTTCTTTTCTTTTTTTGTACTTTCTCTCTTTTGGATTTTGTTTTGTGCGCTACGGACTGTATTGAAAAATGCGAATAACATTCTAATAAAAATGCATTTAAAAAGAGAAGCAGAAAAAGAGCTTTGGAGCTCTTCAAAAGCTTCTTTAGAGCAACAGAAGCACCGGAGATGAAACCGATGTTTGCTGGAAAGGAAATAAAATAAAGCCGGGGGGGGGGAATCGCAAGGTTTCTGGGGCGGAAGTTTTTATCACGCCATCCCAGCGAGGAGGGTCGGAATGGGTGAGGGGGAAACCGAAGGGCTGCCTTTGGACCCGGGGCTCAGGCCAAGAGAGGCCACGAGGCAAAAGATGCTGTCCAGCGCCAACCTACCTGGGCTGTAATACTATGGTCCGTCTCCAGAGGGCAGCAGAGGGTGTTTCTCTTTGCTGCCACCCAGAGGCCACTGCAATTGGTTCCGTCAGATATAGGATAGTTTAGTAAGAGTTGTGACTGAAAAGAGGGGTTTTACTCACCCCATGTTTGTAGACTTCTTTCTTTCTTTCTTTCTTTCTTTCTTTCTTTCTTTCTTTCTTTCTTTCTTTCTTTCTTTCTTTCTTTCTTTCTTTCTTTCTTTCTTTCTTTCTTTCTTTCTTTCTTTCTTTCTCGTTCTCATTTATTTTCTTACTCTTTCTCTTTTTCTTCCTCCCTCCCTCCCTCCCTCATTTTCCTTCCATCCATCCTTCCTTCATCCGTTCCGCCCTCCCTCCCCTCATCTTCCTTCCTTTGTTATCTTCCTCCCTTCCTCCCCTCATTTTTCTTCCTTCTTCCACTGATTTTCCTCCCTCCTCTCCCTCCCTCCCTCCCTCCCTCCCTCCTTCCTTCCTTCCTTCCTTCCTTCCTTCCTTTGTTATCTTCCTCCCTCCCTCCCCTCATTTTCCTTCCTTCCTCCCCTGATTTTCCTCCCTCCCTCCCTTCTCTCCTGCCCTGTCTCCTTCCTTCCTTCCTTCTTTCCTTCCTTCCTTTATCTTCCTCCCTCCCTCCCCTCATTTTCCTTCCTTCCTTCCTTCCTTCCTTCCTTCCTTCCTTCCTTCCTTCCTTCCTTCCTTTATCTTCCTCCCTCCCTCCATCCCTTCATTTTCCTTCCTTCCTTCCTTCCTTCCTTCCTTCCTTCCTTCCTTCCTTCCTTCCTTCCTTCCTTCGAAAGAAAGCTAAAACCAAGACAACTGACACTGGCTGACTTTGCTTGTTTGCTAATTCTCCCACACCCAAATTATAGGCTGCAGCCTTCAGTTCTGATGCTATTTTACACAAAATAGTTTGTCGTGACAGCAACTGCCTGAGGGCCCCTGGATTGGGACTGAAAGGCGAAAGGAAGCAATATATATATTGAATATATATGAAACTGGAAGATCCGTGTTCTTTGACGCTGGGTGCTCAAACACTCTGATGTTTTCCATTTTATTTGTTGGGATGCTGCCCACGGAAAAGACCCCCTGACGTTTATGTGACTTTTCACAAGCAGCTTTTAATAGGGATTAGAAAGCAATTAGGAGGAAATTGAGGCCGATTACAAGGGATATAATCAGGTTCCCCAACAAGCCATCCATTGGCTGGGGAGCCAGCCGCCTGTTGCAGAGGAGGGGAGCAGGAGATCATGGCCGGAGAACCCCCCCCCACCCCGGCTTCTCCCAAGGGCAGGAAAAGGGTCATGGCCGCAGAAACCCTGCAGCTGAAGGAAGGAAGCTTTCAAACTGGGAATGTAAATGTAACTTGATAATAGGTACCCTGTTTTCCCCAAAATAAAACCCAACTGGAAAATAAGCCCTAGCATGATTTTTCCAGGATGCTACTAATATAAGCCCTACCCTGAAAATAAGCCCCAGTTAAGATCGTCAGCAGACGGAGGCATTTAGTACTGTATTTCCCCCCCAAAATAAGACCCAAGTGGAAAATAAGCCAATAATGTGTCTTTTGGAGCAAAAATTAATATAAGACCTGATCTTATTTTTGGGAAAACACGGTAGGTAGGTAAGTAGATGATAGATAGATAGATAGATATAGATAGATAGATAGATAGATAGATAGAAAGAAAGAAGATAAATATAAATGATAGACAGACAGACAGACAGATAGATAAGGTGGGTGGGTGGGTGGATGGATGGATGGATGGATGGATGGATGGATAGGTAAGTAGGTACATAGGTAGGTAGGTATGCACATAGACATGTAGATAGACATGTAGATAGGTTGGTAGGTACATAGACATGAAGGTAGGTGGATGAGTGGATGGATGGTTGGGTAGGTAGATAGATATAGAGATAGAGAGATAGAGAGATAGAGAGATATAGAGAGCTAGAGAGCTAGATAGATAGATAGATATAGAGAGCTAGAGAGCTAGAGAGCTAGATAGAGATAGATAGATATAGAGAGATAGATAGATAGATATAGAGAGCTAGAGAGCTAGAGAGCTAGATAGATAGATAGATAGATAGATAGATAGATAGATAGATAGATAGATAGATAGATAGATATAGATAGATAGATAGATATAGATAGATAGATATAGAGATAGATAGATAAGATGATAGATAGATGGGTATGTAGGTATGTAGGTAGGTAGATAGGTAGATTATAGATAGAAGATCAGTAGATAGATGATAGATATATAGACAGAATAAACAGCAGATAGATAGATAAAGTCACTTTTTTCAGTGTTGTAGTAACTTCAGACAGTCACTAAAGGAAGGGTTGGTTGTAAGTCAACCATTCCCACCACGTGATAAGCACAGACAAGAAGCCCAGGCTTGAGAAGCAAACAGAGCTTTGGGTCCAGATGGAAGCTGGAGATCTGAAAGCATCCGGTCGGTCGGTCCCAAAGCAGCAGCCTCCCCCTTCCCCGAATCCTTTGCCTACCTTGGTGGGTTCCAGCTGTTCCAGGACGTTCTCCTGGCGGGTGGCAGCCACTTTGTCGGTGTTCCTCTCCTGCTTTCTCATCTGGGTGGTGGGCGAGGTGGACGGGCTGGTGGCGGCACTCAGATACGTCCCGTTGCCGAAGGCCTGGATGGCATTTTCTGAGGAGGAGGAAGGGGTGTGTGTGTGTGAGAGAGAGCCATATACAGCCATAACACCACACCTGGAGTCCCGCTTCCAGTTTTGGTCACCACGTTACAAAAAAAAAAAAAAAAGACGTTTGAGACTTTGGTAAAAGTGCAAAGAAGAGCAGCGAAGATGATCGAAAGGCCTGGAGACTAAAACCTTCGGAGAACGGTTGCAGGATTTGGGTTTGGCCAGTCTAGAGAAAAGAAGGACTAGGGGGGGCACGATAGCAGTGTTCCAGTATTTGGGGGGTTGCCCCAAAGAAGAAGGGGTCAAGCTATTCTGCAAAGCACCTGAGGGCAGGACAAGAAGCAACGGAAGGATGGAAACTCATCAAGGAGAGAAGCAACCTGGAATTAAGGAGAAATTCCCTAACAGTGAGGACAATTAACCAGTGGAACAGCTCGCCACCAGAAGTTGTGGGTGCTTCATCACTGGAGGGTTTTAAGAAGTGTTCTGTCCCCCTACCCCACACCCCCCCCACAGACGGCCCGGAGTTAACAAGCCACACGACAAAACTCTTTGGAGATAAAGCTGACAGCAACCCAGTGGCTAGCTGCCAATTCAGACTTTACTCACACAAAACAAAGATTAGACTGCAAGCATTCCAATAAAGCAGGCAAAGTTTCAGCAATACAAGGATTAGTCCAAATGCAGTCCGACAAGGCAGGCAGAAGTCCAGTAACGCAGAGATCATGGATTATTTCCAGTTTTTGCTCGTCACAAACTGAACCGGCCACCACACCCACATTTATACCCTGTGGGGTGTGGTCCAGTGACTCAGCTAATCTCTGGCACGCCTTCCCCTCTGCTGCGCACACTTCTCCCTGCGCCTTTGCCGAGTGTCCAGCCAGCACTTATCTCCTTCGTCGCTGTCCACCTGTGGCTGCGGGGACGTGCTTGGCTCTGAGCCTATCGTTTGGCCTTCGGTGTCCTCCGGAGGCATTGCCAGAGAGGAGGGTCCTGGAGAGGGAGGCCTTGCCAACTCCTCTCCCTCACTCTCAGCGTCTGCACCTGTCGATAGCCCAGGCTCACAACAAGAAGAGACTAGGACAGCCACTTGTCTGAAACGGTCTAGCTCAGAGGTCTGCAACCTTAAAGGCTCAAAGAGCCATTTGGACCCGTTTCCCACAGAAAAAGGGAACACTGCAACTGTCATAAATGTGAGTCAGCGGCCAAGCGTCTTAATTTTGATCACGTGACCACGGGGGTGGGGGGTGGGGCTGCTGCAAATGTACATTTGAAAAAAACGGTCATAAGTTTCTCTCTTTTTTTCATGCTGTTGTAACTTTGAAGGGTCACTAAATGAACTGTTGTAAGTCGAGGACTGCCTGTGGCTTCCATCCCCTGTTCATGGAAAGGTGGACTGCAAGCCGTTAAAAAAAGAAAAAAAGAAAAAGAAAAAGAGAGCCAGTGGCAAAATGAGCCCCTGAGAAGATGCTGAGATGCCAGACTTCAGGCCGAGTCTTTTTGCATCCTTGATGGGCTTTGACACATGGAGACTTATTTCCTCCTGGGATGAGGATGTCCTCCCTCCACCCTCCTCCACCTCCCCTTACAAGGCTCTCTTCTTTGATCCTCAAGGAGAAGTTGGGGCGTCTGTCGAAGCACGAGGAGTTTTTTGCTCTTTCCAAAGAAGCATCAGGCCTCACAATAAATCTCCCCTCTTCAGCAGAGGAGGAGGAGGAGGAGATGAAGGAGGGAGGAGGAGGAGGAGGAAGAAGAAGAAGAAAAGAAGAAGAGGAAGAAGAAGAGGAGGAGGAGGAAATAGTAGAAGAGGAAGGAGGAGGAGGAAGAGATGAAGGAGGGAGAAGAAATAGAGGTAGAAGAAGAAGTGGAAGAGGAGGAGGAGGAAATAGTAGAAGAGGAAGAAAGAGGAGGAGGAGATGAAGGAGGGAGGAGGAGAAGGAAGAAAAAGAAAAAGAAGAGGAAGAAGAGGAAGAGGAGGAAATAGTAGAAGAGGAAGAAGGAGGAGGAGGAGATGAAGGAGGGAGGAGGAGGAGGAAGAAGAAGAAAAGAAGAAGAGGAAGAAGAAGAAGAGGAGGAGGAAGAGGAAATAGTAGAAGAGGAAGAAGGAGGAGGAAGAGATGAAGGAGGGAGAAGAAATAGAGGTAGAAGAAGAAGAAAAGAAGAAGAGGAAGAAGAGGAAGAAGAGGAGAAGGAGGAAATAGTAGAAGAGGAAGAAGGAGGAGGAAGAGATGAAGGAGGGAGAAGAAATAGAGGTAGAAGAAGAAGAAAAGAAGAAGAGGAAGAAGAGGAAGAAGAGGAGAAGGAGGAAATAGTAGAAGAGGAAGAAGGAGGAGGAGATGAAGGAGGGAGGAGGAGAAGGAAGAAGAAAAAAGAGGAAGAAGAGGAAGAAGAGGAAGAAGAAGAGGAGGAGGAAATAGTAGAAGAGGAAGAAGGAGGAGGAGAAGAAGGAGGGAGGAGAAGAAGGAAGAAGAAAAAAAGAAGAGGAAGAAGAGGAGGAGGAGGGGGAGGAGGAAAAAGACTGCGGGGTCCTTGGTGTTCTATAAACTTGGTTGTTTTTTTGCAGACGTTCCATTACCCAACTACATAACATTATCAGTGCTAGAAGGAAGTGAGGTTTGTGGAGAGGAGGAGGAGAGGGAGGGGGAGGAGAAAGACCGTGGGATCCTTGGTGCTCTCTGAGCTGGGTTGTTTTCTTGTAGACATTTCATTACCCAGCTAGGTAACATTATCAATGCTAGAAAAGAGGAGCGTTTACAGAGAGGAGGAGGAGGAGGAAAAAGACTTTAGAGTTCTTGATGCTCTCTGAGCTTGGTAGTTTTCTTGTAGACATTTCATCACCCACCTAGGTAACATCATCAGTGCTAGACGGGAGGGAGGTTTGCCCGTTCCCTCTCTATGAGTGGCTTGCCCTGTCAGTCTTTTTCCAGGCAAAGCAAACCAACAGGGAAGCTTCCTTTCAAGGCCTAAATACCCTCGCATCTAATTGTCCCCAAAGGCACCGGAGGTCCACGAGGCCAGAGGCCCTACTTACGGAGGCAGAGGTTGTCGGTGAAAAGGTGCAGGAAGCGTTCGCATTCTTCCTGCCGGTTCCCGCTGGCGTTGCAGGTGCACCAGGGTGCAATGTTGGCGGTCGAGTTATCGATGTAGTTGGGTGTGATGGTGCTGCCTGCCGAGAGGGGGAAGGAACAGAGAAAAATCTCTGAGAAAGCAAGGAAAACTTTAAAACATTAAAAACTTTTAAAAGTTGCTATGGACAATCTAGAGCAGAGCTCTGCAAACTTGGCAACTTTTGAAGACTTGTGGACTTCAATTCCCAGAATTCCCCAGCCGGCAACTCCAAAATTGGCAATTTTAAGGTTTATGGACTTCAACTCCCAGAATTCCCCAGCCGGCAACTCCAAAGTTGACATTTTTTAAAGACTTGTGGACTTCAACTCCCAGAATTCCCAAGCTGGCAACTCCAAAGTTGGCATTTTTTAAAGATTTGTGGATTTCAACTCCCAGAATTCCCCAGCCAACATCTCCAAAGTTGGCAATTTTAAGACTTGTGGACTTCAACTCCCAGAATTCCCCAGCTGGCAACTCCAAAGTTGGCAATTTTAAGACTTGTGGACTTCAACTCCCAGAATTCCCCAGCCGGCAACACCAAAGTTGGCCATTTTAAGACTTGTGGACTTCAACTCCCAGAATTCCCCATCCGGCAACTCCAAAGTTGGCATTTTTTAAAGACTTGTGGACTTCAACTCCCAGAATTCCCTAGCCGGCAATTCCAAAATTGGCATTTTTTAAAGATTTGTGGACTTCAACTCCCAGAATTCCCCAGCCAACATCTCCAAAGTTGGCAATTTTAAGACTTGTGGACTTCAACTCCCAGAATTCCCAAGCTGGCAACTCCAAAGTTGGCATTTTTTAAAGATTTGTGGACTTCAACTCCCAGAATTCCCCAGCCGACATCTCCAAAGTTGGCAATTTTAAGAGTTGTGGACTTCAACTCCCAGAATTCCCCAGCCGGCAATGCCAAAGTTCGTAATTTTTAAAGACTTGTGGACTTAAAATGGCCCAGGCTGAGAAACGTTGTTATACAGGTAGTCCTCGACTTACAACAGTTCTGGTGTCACGTGATTTACATTCGGCCGCTTGGCAACGGACTCACACTTATGACGGTTGCAGTATTCCGGGGTCACGCGATCCCCTTTTGTGACCTTCTCACAAAGTCAATGGGGAAGCCAGATTCACTTAATGACCGGATTTACTAATTTAACAGCTTCGGTCCTAACTTAACAAATGCAATGATTCACTTAACTGTGGCAAGAAAAAAATGGGGCAAAGTCACTTAACAATTGTTTCACTTAGCAGCATACATTTTAGAGTCAATTGCGGTCGTAAATTGAAGTATATCTGTGTTTTTTTTTTTTAGAAAAAACCTTTTATTTTATTTCAAGCCTAAAAAAAAGTAGACATTTGTTTTTTTCCAAAAGTACAGAACAAACTAGAAATGTCAGAATTAACGACGAAAAATAAATTGCCTAACAAAATAAAAATTGTATAAACATTCGAAGCCTATTACTTTGCTTTCAATTATTTAACAGTATACTGTAGGAAGATTTCAAAGGCAAAAGAGAAGACAGCGTTACGAATTCCATGCGAAGGGAAACAGATTGCAGCTTTTTTGGAAGAGCAGAAAATAAATTTATTTTCAAAAACGGATAAGTTATTTTTTTTTTTTAATATGGGGGCTTTATTTTTATAAATGCTGCAAATTGCCAGTGCGTACACGAAGGGAAAGTTTCATTTTTTCCCCCCTTTTAATATGCAAAAACAAGTAACAATACCATGGAGACCTCAGTTTTAAGTATTAAGCTTCAGATAGAAATCTTTAGCATATAATAAATAATTTATCATTATTTGGCAGTTGTTTATCGATGCCACACTCGGCTTTAGGTATCTAAAATCTAAGCAACCTTAGGCTTATCAACATTAATATTTTAGAAATCTTAGTTAACATTGATATAAATCTATTTTCCCTAGTTTTAAAGGTTAAAGGATCCTAAGTCATCAGAATGCGAACAATCTCCAGACCAGTCCCCATGGAGTAAGTACCAATGTATCCAAAGAACGCAGTGTATTATTCATATTTAATTTTTTTTAAATGGATATATTACACATGGCCTGAATCCAAACCTTAATATTTGAAATAATAACACTTTCCCAATTATCAAAATAATTACCTATGTCTGATGTAGCCAAAATTCTGCAGCAAAGATTATGTTTCGCAATTTCTGAATATAATTCAACCTAACATTAACTTATTTATCAGTGAGTTATTTCACACTGTCTCTGTCTATCCATCCATCTTCTATTTATGATCAATCTGTCTGTCTGTCCATCTGTCTGTCTATCTATCATCTATCTATCTATCTATCTATCTATCTATCTATCTATCTATCTATCTATCTATCTACTATCTATCTACTATCATCTATCTTTATCTATCTATCTATCTATCTATCTATCTATCTATCTATCTATCTATCTATCTATCTCCATCCACCCATCCATCCATCGTCTGTCTGTCTATCTATCTATCTATCTATCTATCTATCTATCTATCTATCTATCTATCTATCTACTATCTTTCTATCATCTATCTATCTCCATCCATCCATCCATTGTCTGTCTGTCTGTCTGTCTGTCTATCTATCTATCTATCTATCTATCTATCTATCTATCTATCTATCATCTATCTATGTATCTATCTATCTATCTATCTATCCATCCATCCATCCATCGTCTGTCTGTCTGTCTGTCTGTCTGTCTGTCTGTCTGTCTGTCTATCTATCTATCTCTATCATCATCATCATCATTCATCATCTAACATTTTGCCAAAAGTTGCCAGCAACCCACAAAACACCTTCCTATATGATTCCAGACCTCTCTGGCATTCAGCTATTCATCTTAGCAAGTTCCCAGTCCTCATTATCACTGGTGAAAAGAAGAAGGAAAGATTGGAGCAAGATTGAGACAGTAGGGGACTAAAATAAACGTAAAATCTCATACCAATCATACTCAACTTTGAGTATGATTCTAAGTTCTAAGTTGCTTCTCTCCTTGATGAGTTGCTTCTTGTCCTGCCCTCAGGGGCTTTGGAGAATAGCTTGACTCCCTCTTCTTTTGGGGCAGCCCCTGAGATATTGGAAGACTGCTATCATGTCTCCCCTAGTCCTTCTTTTCATTACACGAGACATGCCCAGTTCCTGCAACCGTTCTTCCTATGTTTTTAGCCTCCAGTCCCCTAATCCTCTTTCCTGCTCTTCTCTGCACTCTTTCTAGAGTCTCAACATCTTTTTTACATCGTAGTGACCAAAACTGGATTCAATATTCCACGTGTGGTCTTACACTTGTAGAGTTGAGAGAGGTTTCCCAGGAATTTCTCAAGGATCGTGAAAATAATGTCCTGGGAGGGGGATTTTCCTCCTGGAGGCTTCTCTTGAGATTAGGAACCTCTACAGAAGCGTTTGTCCGAATGGGCAACATACTGGATGCATCGCGAGCCATGTCCGTCAACTTGTCCATTTGCCCAGCCTGCCACTGGACGCTGCTTCTGGGGATCAGAAAAGCAGCGTGCTGTTCTGAGCAAGGCTTCCACAGCAGCGCAAAGCCGAGCCCTCGTCCCGATAAACCCCTTCGATTTCATTGACAGTGAATTCCTCTCCAGCAAAGTCTTTCCTCTCCCACAGTCTTTCAAGATCGTTCACAATTACCAACCGTTATCAGGCTTGGAGAGTGGCCAGGCCGATATCTTTCAGACGCCGCAATACTTGGCAAGAATGCAGGAATGAATGAAACTGCCTCCTGCAAACTCCACTCCCCTGTCGCTCCTCTTTTATTCCCTCTGGGAGAGGCCATTCATTGTCCACCTGTGGCCTTACTCCCAAGTCGACCCTTGTTCTTTAGCTGTTCCCCTTCGTCTGGCCACTCTGTGAATGTGCACACTGGGAACAGGCCCCAGCTGTTCCTCTGCCTCACTGATATCCGACTCCGAAAGCAGCTGATAACTGTCAGACAGTCCTGGCCCCCTCTCTGCCTCCGACGCAGAGCTCTCATCAGAGCCCTCCCCAGGCTCCAGGACTGGTCCATGTTCCTCCCCAACCTCCTCACTGTCCGAATCTGCTGCCAGATCCGCTGACCGCTGACAGGCCACAACACATGCCAATAGACCAATGATTTTCAGAAGTCAGGATTGTACAATGAGCAACTGGATGCATTAAATTAACTACATCAATGCAAAATTCCCCTTGCCCGTCATTCTTGATAGCATTGAAAAAAAATAAATAAACCTCAGATTCCCTACCGATGATGCCGGTGTAGGCCAACAGACAGGCGGCGTAGTTCTCTTTCTGGCATCCGGTTCCCGAGAGGAGCCCAGAAGGCTGGCAGTTGACTTGGAACTCGGCATAACGAGACCTAGGAGAGAGGAGGAAGGGGTGCAAATGGGGTGCCGTTAAGGGTGGGTGGGGGGGGCAGAGGAGGAGCTTCTGTTCCTAGTTGGCAGGATACGAAAAGGAGGGATGGAAAACGTGGGAGCCCAAGAGAGGAAAAAATTGATAGCTGGATGGATGGATGGATAGAGGAATGGATAGAGGATTGAATGGAGGAATGGAGGAGGATAGATGGATGAAAGAAAGAAAGAAAGAAAGAAAGAAAGATAGATAGATAGATAGATAGATAGATAGATAGATGGTGTGAGAGAGGTAAGAGAAAATAGATAGAGATAGGTAGAAATAGGTAGTTAAATAGATAGAGGATAGAGACAGACAGATATAGAGACAGATGGATAGAGATGTGTAAATAGATGATAGATAATAGAAGATAGTTGATAGAGATAGATAGATAGATAGATAGATAGATAGATAGATAGATAGATAGATAGATAGATAGAGAAAGAAAAGACAGAGAAAGAAAGGGAGGGAGGAAGGGACAGAGATGATAGATATGGAAGAGATAGATAGATGGGTGGGTGGGTGGGTGGGTGGATGGATGGATGGATGGATGAACTGACAGGCAGGCAGGCAGAAAGAGAAGGAAAGAAAGAAAAAAGAAACAGAAAGAAACAGAAAGAAAGGGAGGGATGGAGGGAGATATAGAAGATATAAATAGGATATTGATAGATAGATAGATAGATAGATAGATAGATAGATAGATAGATAGATATCAATAGAGAGATAGATAGATAGATAGATAGATAGATAGATAGATAGATAGATAGATAGATAGATATGGTGTGAGAGAGGCAAGAGATAAATAGATAGAGATAGGTAGAAATAGGTAGTTAAATAGATAGAAGATAGAGACAGACATATAGAGAGACAGATGGATAGATAGAGGGGTAGATAGAAGATAGATGACAGATAGATAATAGAAGATAGTTGATAGAGAGAGAGATAGATAGATAAAGAAAGAAAAGAAAGAGAAATGGAGGGAGGGAGGGACAGAGATGATAGATATGAAAGAGATAGATAGATAGATAGATAGATAGATAGATAGATAGATAGATAGATAGATAGATAGATAGATAGATATAGATAGAGATGGATGGATGGATGGAAGGATGGAAGGATGGATAGATGAACTGACAGGCAGGCAGGCAGGCAGAAAGAGAAGGAAAGAAAGAAAAAAGAAAGAAACAGAAAGGGAGGGAGGGAGATGATAGATATAGAAGATATAAATAGGATATTGATAGATGATAGATAGATATTGATAGACAGACAGACATATACAGATAGATAGATAGATAGATAGATAGATAGATAGATAGCGATAGATATAGGAGAGAGAGAGGGAGAGAGATGGACAGAGATAGGTAGATAGATATAGGCAGACAGACAGATATATAGATATATAAATAGATGATAGATAGCTAGACAGACAGACAGAAAGAAAAAGAAAGAAAGAAAGAAAAAAGAAAGATGACGGAGAGACAGAGACAGACAGATATAGAACTGCAGTGGGTGATTTCCACCTTAGTTTGCAACCAGGACATTCCTAATCTCTTCTCTTTCCCTATCAGAGCATGCACACCTGCCACTCAACTCAGCAAGGATTAAAAAAAAAAAAACCCAGTCTTCATTTATTTATTAAACATCAGCCAAGATCAAAACAGTTAACAAGCGAAAAAAGGGATGAAAGGCATGCTAAAGCCCAGAGGCAGAGAGAGATGCGAACAACAGAATTTTACATTATTTATATTTCTATTTACACTTATCAAAAGGAGGCAAAACTTGCTAGACTAGAGCCACTGGGAAGCATGGCCGGGAGAAGAAGAGAGATGGAAAAGGGGGACACAAGGTGCTCCTTGCTGTAATCCGCGTCGACCATTTGGGCTGATGGCAGCTCCCGGAAGTCATGTGGACTTCAACTCCCAGAATTCCCCAGTCAGCAACGCTTAAAATATCTCCCAGGCTGAGAAACAATGGTTTTAAGGCAGAGGTCCTCGAACTTGGCGGCTTTAAGACTTGTGGACTTCAACTCCCAGAATTCTTCAGCCAGCATAGCATAGCATAGCAGGCTGGAGAATTCTGGGAGTTGAAGTTCACAAGCCTTAAAGCCAAGGGGGATTCTGGGAGTTGAAGTCCACCCATCTTCAAGCTTCCAAGGTTGAGAAACACTGTGTTAATCTCTGCTCTTGTGGGTATTTTATTTCTGGCCAGGAAGTGCAGTGATCTTTTAGCTTTTGGATTGTCTCTTTTGAATGGTGTGTAAATGTGGTCCATCTCTATGTGCCCGTTGATGGCCGTTTTGTCTGAGTGCCGCTGGCTGGGGGATTCTGGGAGTTGAAGTCCACCCATCTTCAAGCTTCCAAGGTTGAGAAACACTGCACTAGATGGAGCTCCTTAAGAGAGATAACATCCCTGGCCTTCCTGTCCTGGTAGGTTGGGGACGTGTAATTGGGAAAAGACGGGCCTTCAACTTACCTGCTTCCAAGCCAGGTAGGGCTTTGAAGGCTGGAAATCGGACCCGGAAATAAATCGGCAACCAACGCAGTTTGGAAGAGAGGTAAACCCTGATTACAGAATGAACCTCTGTTCCCGTGTAAGGCTCCTTTATCTGTAGCTTGACTTAAATGTAATGAACGTGGCCGTAAGTCGAGGACTCCCTGTGCCGCAGAAGGAGCCTCGCGGCGAAAGAGCCTCGTTTTTTTATCGGGACAGAAGACACATTTGGCGTTCGCCGAAACAGGGATGTGATAAAGACATGCAGCGGTGCGGTGGGTTTTACATTTTGTTACCGCCAGTTCGCTGCCTGGGCGCACGCTGATGGTACAGTGGGCCCGGTAGGCCCGTTTTTTCGTCCTCCCAAGGCTTTCTTGGAGCCTGGGAGGGTGAAATCGGCTTCCCCACCCCCCCAGAGGCCCTCCAGAGGCTGGAAACGACCTGTTTCCCGACTTCCGGTGGCCCGGAAGGCCTGTTTTTTTGCCCTCCCCAGGCTCCAGAGGCTTTTCTTGGCGCCTGGGGAGGGCGAAAACTGCCTTCCCCACCTCCCTGGAGGCCCTCTGGAGGCTGGGAACAGCCCGTTTCCTGACTTCTGGAGGGCCCAGAAGGGCAGAAAATCATGCATGCTGGAGCTGAGCTAGGGTAGGGAAGCTTTGGTACCTGCAAACGTAGTTTCCCCGGCAGGCGTCCAGCGGCGTCAAACAATTCGGCTTCTCCTTGGCTTCGTAGGAGCAGGTGGGCACAATCGTCTGCCGGCGTCTCTCAGCACAGGCCGTGTCGAGGCAGGGACAGAACAGGAGCTCATGCGTGTACTCGGGCGGCACCCGGTCAAAGAACTTCCGCAGCGCCTTGTGGCACTTGGAGCGGTTGCAAGGGTCCGCCCGGGGCCCCCGACGGATACAGGAGGAAACGTACTCGGTCCGGAGTCGCTGGCACAGCTCGTCCACGTTACAGGCTTTGGCGGCATCCAGGCAGCGGTTCACCTGCGTGACCTCGTTCTCGGAGCCTGCAGAGCGGAAAGACACCATGGAGGCTATTGCATGTCATTCTGCGAGGGAAGGGACCCGTGAGGTCATCCAGACCAACCACCCTCCTGCTCAGGGTAGGCATTGCAGTGGAAATCCCAAAGGCTCTTTTTTTTTTCTTTTTTTTCAAGAGGCAACTGGACTTTCTGGTTTCTTTTTTTTCTTTGAAGACGTTTCCCTTCTCATCCAGGAAGCTTCTGTAGAGTTGAAGAAGCTTCTGGGATGAGAAGCGAAACGTCTTCGAAATGAACCAGAAAGTACAGTTGCCTCTTGAAAAAAAGGACCTTCGGGACAACCAGGATCTGGACGACGGAGAATCTCCAGAGACATTGCAATGAAAAAAAACCCCAGACCAAGTTATGGTTTAACCTCTCTTAGGATCCCCGCCATTTTCTCTCAGGGGACGTTTCTCCGACACTCAGCCGGCATTTGACTTCCTGTCATGGAAATCTCCGGTTCTGTGACAGCCAGTCAAGACTTAAGTTCCCACAGGGGTGAATGTGCGACTGTCACAAATATCAAGAAGTGAATTTGGGCAGCCACAAACCCCTTCTTCGTTGTTGTGGCCGCCTCCCCGGAGACCCTCAGTTTTCAAAACTTTTAGGAGAGCGATCGTGTCCCTGTTTCATTTTCTTTCTTCTTCTCGGGCCTAAAGATGGCCAGAAACTCCGAACTGTCTCCATGGAAGTGAACGGAGCCAGTTCAGTGATATATATATACCCTGTTTCCCTGAAAATAAGACCTCCCCTGATAATAAGCCCAATCGGGCTTTTGAGCGTATGCCGTAAAATAAGCCCCTGCTGAAAATATTTAAACACATGCACAGCGGGTCCCCCGCCATTTCTTCTGGTTTCCTCCATGCGCCCCAAAATAATAAGACCTCTCCGAAAATAAGGCCAAGTGCTTATTTCGGGGTTCAAAAAAATATAAGACAGGGTCTTATTTTCGGGGAAACACAGTAGATAGTCCTCGACTTACAACCATTCATTGGTTGACCGTTTGAATTTACAACAGTACTGAAAAAAGTGACTTATGACTGTTTTTCAACTCCCAGAATTCCCCAGTCAGCAAGCTTTAAGATGTGTGGACTTAACTCCCCGAATCCCCCAGCCAGCAAGCTTTAAGATGGGAGGATTGCAACTCCCAGAATTCCCCAGCCTCCAAGCTTTAAGATTAGTGGACTTCAATTCCCAGAATCCCTCATCCGTCATGCTTTAAGATGGGAGGACTTCAACTCCCAGAATCCCCTAGCCAGCAAGCTTTAAGATGCGTGGACTTCAACTCCCAGAATCCCCTAGCCAGCAAGCTTTAAGATGCGTGGACTTCAAATCCCAGAGTCCCTCATTTGTCATGCTTTAAGATGCGTGGACTTCAAATCCCAGAATCCCTCATCCGTCATGCTTTAAGATGGGAGGACTTCAACTCCCAGAATCCCCCAGCCTCCAAGCTTTAAGATGGGTGGACTTCAACTCCCAGAATTCCTTTGCTGGCTGGGGAATTCTGGGAGTTGAAGTCCCCCCCTCATTTTAAATTTGCCGTAGTTGAGAAACAACCCCTACAGACCGCCAAGTGATACTTTCTGCTCGAGTCTCTCTGGCGGAGTTCAGGCCGCCTCGGCTGGGCGACCTCCCTCTGATGGGATTGTCTAATGGAGCATGTGGTGAATCCATTTCCCCGGGCCTCGGTAACCTTGAACCCCACTCGGCAAGTGGAAAGCGGGAAACCAGGATTGATCGGCCAATTACCGAGCATAATGGCATTCCTAATTAGGGCCCTTGCAGAACATATGATGTGTTCTCGTAGAAGCGGCTGGAGCTGTCCGTCTCTGTCGGCCAGGCGCAAGGGAGACCGAGCCGGCCTTTGGGAAAACGCTCCCCGGGGCTAACAATGTTCCCCGGATAACCAGCTTAGCAAAGATCTCAGGAAACGGAAAAGAGTTTGGCTGCCCTGAGCATGTGCCGAATGCCTCTTTTGTACAGAGGGACTAGAAAAGAGTCAGTCTGGCCTAGTGGTTAAGGCAGCAGGGTAGAAAGCAGGAGGGGGTGAGTTCTAGAATCTTGCCTTAAACGTGAAAGAAAGTCACTGGGTGACTTTGGGCCAATCACCAGGGGATGGTGAGTTCTAGTTCCACCTTAGGCATGAAAGAAGACTGGATGACTTTGAGCCAATCAACAGGAGACTGTGAATTCTAGTTCCACCTTAGGCATGAAAGAAGGCTGGGTGACATTGGGCCAATCACCAGGAGATGGTAAGTTCTAGTTCCACCTTAGGAATAAAAAAGACTGGGTGTCTTTGGGCCAATCATCAGGAGTCTGTGAGTTCTAGTCCTACTTTAGGCATGAAAGTTGTCTGGATTGACTTGGACCAATCACCAGGAGATGGTGAGTTCTAGTCCCTCCTTAGGCATGGAAGCTGGCTGGGTGACTTTGGGCCAATCAACAGGAGATGGTGAGTTCTAGTTCCACTTTAGGCATGAAAGGAGACTGGGTGTCTTTAGGCCAATCAACAGGAGATGGTGAGTTCTAATTCTACCTTAGGTATAAAAGTCATTGGGTGACTTTGGGCCGATAACCAGGAGATTGTGAGTTCTAGTCCCGCTTTAGGCATGAAAGCTGGCTGGATGACTTTGGGCCAATCACCAGGAGACGGTGAGTTCTAGTACCTCCTTAGGCATGAAAGCCAACTGGGTGACTTTGGGCCACTCCCACCCCCATCTGTTAGCCCAATCCACCTCACAGGGTTGTTGTTATGGGAAGAAAAGGAGGAGGTTATGTTTGCCACCTTGAGTTACTTTCAAAAGTAAGTAAGGTAAGATAAAGAATACCTAACAATACATAAATTAAAAGGGGTTTCTTAATTCCGCCAGATTGCAACAATATGGCTCAATATGATTTTCACACCTTACCTGCCGTGATGGATGCCAGTCGGACATAGTCAAACCTCTGACAAAAGGCTCGTACGGAGAGCTTTCCATGACGTTCATGCCTAGGGAAGAACATAATGCCATTGCTTTTATTCTGCATATTATTTACTACATGAATTAATAAAACCTGACCCTTTGCTCCAGGGCTCCGAGAGAACCGCCTGGGGCCTCTTCGAGAAGTGAAGCCCAATTAAAAGCAGATCGCAAGGGCAGCTGAAATGCAGAAAGCATGAAGGGGACACAGGAAAGCCCACCCCCCAGGCTCTTGTCTACTTTGGGCGGATTTCAAACGCTTTTGAGACGTTCTCCACGTAGGACAGTGTGTTTCAAAGCTGGCAGCTGGGAGATGGAGGACTTCAACTCCCAGAATCCCCCAGCCAGCAAGCTTTAAGATGAGTGGACTGCAACTCCCAGAATCCTCCAGCCAGCAAGCTTTAAGATGAGTGGACTGCAACTCCCAGAATCCCCCAGCCAGCAAGCTTTAAGATGGGTGGACTTCAACTCCCAGAATCCCTCAGGCAGCAGAGTTTAAGATGGGTGGACTTCAACTCCCAGAATCCCCCAGCCAGCAAGTTTTAAGATGGGTGGACTTCAACTCCCAGAATCCTCCAGCCACCAAGCTTTAAGATGAATGGATTTCAACTCCCAGAATCCCCCAGCCAGCAAGTTTTAAGATGGGTGGACTTCAACTCCCAGAATCCTCCAGCCACCAAGCTTTAAGATGAATGGATTTCAACTCCCAGAATCCCCCAGCCAGCAAGTTTTAAGATGGGTGGACTTCAACTCCCAGAATCCTCCAGCCACCAAGCTTTAAGATGGGTGGACTTCAACTCCCAGAATCCCCCAGCCAGCAAAGTTTAAGATTAGTGGACTTCAACTCCCAGAATCCCCCAGCCACCAAGCTTTAAGATGGGAGGATTGCAACTCCCAGAATCCCCCAGCCACCAAGCTTTAAGATGGGAGGATTGCAACTCCCAGAATCCCCCAGCCACCAAGCTTTAAGATGGGAGGATTGCAACTCCCAGAATCCTCCAGCCACCAAGCTTTAAGATGGGAGGATTGCAACTCCCAGAATCCCCCAGCCAGCAAGCTTTAAGATGGGTGGACTTCAACTCCCAGAATCCCCCAGCCAGCAAAGTTTAAGATGGATGGACTTCAACTCCCAGAATCCCCCAGCCAGCAAAGTTTAAGATGGATGGACTTCAACTCCCAGAATCCCTCAGGCAGCAGAGTTTAAGATGGGTGGACTTCAACTCCCAGAATCCCCCAGCCAGCAAGTTTTAAGATGGGTGGACTTCAACTCCCAGAATCCTCCAGCCACCAAGCTTTAAGATGAATGGATTTCAACTCCCAGAATCCCCCAGCCAGCAAAGTTTAAGATGGATGGACTTCAACTCCCAGAATCCCTCAGGCAGCAAGTTTTAAGATGGGTGGACTTCAACTCCCAGAATCCTCCAGCCACCAAGCTTTAAGATGGGTGGACTTCAACTCCCAGAATCCCCCAGCCAGCAAAGTTTAAGATGGATGGACTTCAACTCCCAGAATCCCTCAGGCAGCAAGTTTTAAGATGGGTGGACTTCAACTCCCAGAATCCTCCAGCCACCAAGCTTTAAGATGAATGGATTTCAACTCCCAGAATCCCCCAGCCAGCAAGTTTTAAGATGGGTGGACTTCAACTCCCAGAATCCTCCAGCCACCAAGCTTTAAGATGGGTGGACTTCAACTCCCAGAATCCCCCAGCCAGCAAAGTTTAAGATTAGTGGACTTCAACTCCCAGAATCCCCCAGCCACCAAGCTTTAAGATGGGAGGATTGCAACTCCCAGAATCCCCCAGCCACCAAGCTTTAAGATGGGAGGATTGCAACTCCCAGAATCCTCCAGCCACCAAGCTTTAAGATGGGAGGATTGCAACTCCCAGAATCCCCCAGCCAGCAAGCTTTAAGATGGGTGGACTTCAACTCCAGAATCCCCCAGCCAGCAAAGTTTAAGATGGATGGACTTCAACTCCCAGAATCCCCCAGCCAGCAAAGTTTAAGATGGATGGACTTCAACTCCCAGAATCCCTCAGGCAGCAGAGTTTAAGATGGGTGGACTTCAACTCCCAGAATCCCCCAGCCAGCAAGTTTTAAGATGGGTGGACTTCAACTCCCAGAATCCTCCAGCCACCAAGCTTTAAGATGGGTGGACTTCAACTCCCAGAATCCCCCAGCCAGCAAGTTTTAAGATGGGTGGACTTCAACTCCCAGAATCCTCCAGCCACCAAGCTTTAAGATGAATGGATTTCAACTCCCAGAATCCCCCAGCCAGCAAAGTTTAAGATGGATGGACTTCAACTCCCAGAATCCCTCAGGCAGCAGAGTTTAAGATGGGTGGACTTCAACTCCCAGAATCCCCCAGCCACCAAGCTTTAAGATGAATGGATTTCAACTCCCAGAATCCCCCAGCCAGCAAGTTTTAAGATGGGTGGACTTCAACTCCCAGAATCCTCCAGCCACCAAGCTTTAAGATGGGTGGACTTCAACTCCCAGAATCCCCCAGCCAGCAGGGTTTTAAGATGGGTGGACTTCAACTCCCAGAATCCTCCAGCCACCAAGCTTTAAGATGAATGGATTTCAACTCCCAGAATCCCCCAGCCAGCAAGCTTTAAGATGGGTGGACTTCAACTCC